TTTTTTTTAATAAAGTAAAATTTAAAAGTAATCAATAAACTGCAGATTTCTTTTTGCGCCAACCAAATGAAGATTCACTGTCAGCATTACAATACTAATTCTTTTTTCCAAATAAATACTAAATAGAATATACAATCGCTGTCAAATTTAAGCGCTCAAGTCTTAAACATCTGTGTGCAGGTGTGTGCGTGCATGCATAAAACGCATGCACAAAATAAGCAGAACGTGCAATGTATTGTAGTAATAGCTCTCTTCTTAGAGCCAGATTTATGTAACAGCATATATCTTCACTACCATTAAAAGCTCCCCAGTATCTCTAGGTGTCTGACTTGAATAAATCTGGGAAACATTCTGCTCACACACTGAGTTTTAAGAAAAGTGCAGTACGTGTCAACTTCAATAAAAGCAGTGCAGTTCTTTAATTACCCCGTTCACCCAGCAGCTGCTTTAATGAAGAATTTTTCTGAACATGTAAAAATGTAAAATACCCCCAAAATCAGTCATCTATGTGCAATGACTACTCAACATCTAACAATAATGGATATACTCAAGGACAAAAATGTGAGTCACACCAAGCCCATAATTCTCAGTGAGTGACTGTAAAGCATTTACAGTCAGCGTTAAGCTTTTAAAACTCTAACCCTAATCAATTGTAAACAAAGAAACAAAGACCTCATGGTTATTTTTAAAATCTTTAACACTAGCACAAGACTTCAAATAATTTTTCTTTTTCTGATTCAAACAGCATTCTTCCCACGTAAAATATGTGCAAAAACTTGTGCATGAAAACAGGCTAGTACATGCAAGTTAAAAAATCACACCGCCTATTTAAGCACATGAACTAATTATACCTGGCATTTTGGGCTTTGATGGTAATATATTGCTTGCCATAGAGAAGAAAACATCCCTGTTAGCCAAAACCAAAGGTGCACAAGATCCAGAAAGCTAAGTGCAGACAATCTCTCCCTTTCTCCAAATTCTCATGCCCCCAAGCCTTTTAATGATACAGGAGAGCCAACATCATCTCCGCAGGCTGCAAAGAACTTGGAAACTCACAACTTGCACACATTTATTTCAGCCTTGGTGACAGCACAGCAACAAAAAGCCCATTAAAAAGAAAACAGGCAGATTACCGGATGCGATCAACTTGCGATCATTTTTTAGTAACATGCTCATGAATGGGTGCCAGCTAACTCATCTGAGTGGAGAGCAAACCTGATTTATACACAGCAGGATGATGACAGATTATTTTAAACCTAATAATAATTTCTAGCAGCAACGCAACATTACACTTCATAGCAGTACACACTTTGTAGAAGACATTTCCTTTGTAAAAAACTGTTTGTGTGCTGTTTGATTAATTTTAGGAGGAAGAGGGAATGTGAATGAGAGAAACCCAACTGAAGGTGATGAAAGATAACACTGCAGAAACAAGCAGTCAGGTGAAAGAGGATCTTTGAAAAAGGCACGGTGTTAGGAGACAGGAACCTTGCCAATTAGCAGTTAAGCGATTCCCCCCACACCAACTTTTTCTAAAGATAAATGTAGCTAGCTTTGACTAACTTTTCAGTGGAGGCTGCTAGGCTGTGAAGATATTAGTTACAGTGAGATGCCTGCCTCTCTTCTCAGCCACAAGGATGTCTAAGATGACCCAGTCTGACCCCAGGTGTAGCAAAAGCCACAGAAGCCAGTGAGGAATTCCTCTACCCTACCCAGCCATTTGTTCAAGCCTATACCTCTGCAAAAACATTTAATCTTCCTTCAAAAGACAGAAAAACTACTATTCCCTTTTTAATGATTCACTGCTCTTTATTAAAAGTTTGCGCCTTGGAGTTTGTCATTAACTGATTTTTATCTCTGTATATTGTCAACACATACTGCCTTGAAAATGTTTTGCTATGTCTGGAGTATGAAAATATATCAAATCAGTTGTCGCATTACAGATGTAAAGATTACTTTCAGGAATTCACATTTTATTCAGCCAAGTTTGAACTGAAGTTAAAGGAGTTAGAAAGTAACTGTGTAGTACCACTTAAGAAGGTAAACTGTGTTTTGTCTCACATATTTGTGGAGAACATACACAGAAATCATGTGTTTAAAACAACAAACATATGATCATGCACGGGATCCTGATAGATTCAGCTGAACACAGCAATCACTGAAGAGCCAGGAAGTCTAGTTGAAACCAACCTATTATTTGGAGTCTTTATAAGAAAAAAAAATCTGCTTCCTCTGAAATGGTGTTTTGTTTTCATTTTAACACTAGATAAACAGTATGACAGTCTTAACTATAGTATTTAATCATTTTAAGTGCTTGGACATAAAATTTTATTCATCGGCATAACATATCCATGACTGTTATTTTATATCCATACAGCTGTTATTTTGCAATACTGGCTTAATTATGTATTACCACTTAAGCAGGCAAAAAGATTATTAGGCAATCACAGGCAATTCATTAAATATTTTAACCTTGGTACTACAATAGTCCAGATTAAGATAAAATAATACAAATTATGGACTGCCTCAAACAGCTGTGGAGGCTTGTTTCATTTAGTTTTCATTTAGTTCATGGCCAGAGGAGCTATCTGACCATCCTTTGGAGGAGGTACCTCACTTCTGAGCTCGGCATGGATATCGATCCCCAGCTGCTGACACAGAGCACAGCTCTCACACATGGAGCTGCATCCACTTCACTATAGAACTGCATAGATTGGATCAGGGGCAACAGGAGGATTTGGAAACTATGTGAATGGAGCTTTGCCTCCTTAACTATGCAAGTATCAAGCACTGCAATGCAAGCATAAGCTAACAAGGCTAAAAAAGAGTTTGACTAGAGAGTCCATTTTCTTCAAAACGCATAGCGGTATATAGCCAAGTTAACTCAAACCTTGGCAGAAAAGCACTAGGTTTCACACTCTGTCGTATTGTATCTACTTAATTTTTACATATGATTTAAAAATGGTAGTGACTTCTAAGTTTGTGCCCATTCAAAATTCTCTTTGTAAGCCTTAATCCCAAAACCAACATGCCTCTTCTCATGTCACTATTTTTGACCCATAGTTCAGGGAAAGGCAGAAGCAGGCTCCAGTCTGAAGGCACTGCAATATGGCAGTGCTGCTGAGGATAAATGAGCATAAATAAAGTTCTCTGCTTGCAAAGGAGCACCTTCCCCTTACACATGAGTTCCTCTCCAGAGATAGCACATTATTTTCCTCACCTACATATGCAAATGAGAGGCCAGTTAAAAGATTCTGGATGCAATGCCAACCGACCTGAAGGTTCAGTCCTTTCTTTGGAACAAAGTTATTTTCATCTAGCTGTGCCCCAAGAAGAGTTGCAGTGTTGCTGATCTCAGGTTCCTGACAGATCAGAAAGCCTCTTGTTTTTTGTATGCCCAAGCCATTTGTGGGAAGGCACCTACACTCCACAGCCGTCTCACAAGAAGAATCAGTGTTGAAGGAGCTGTTTAGTGCACTGGTTTTACTCAGTATGCCTTTCAGTACTAGAGATCATCTGTACTGTTCTGCTTTTGGCATGGCGGACATCAAGAGCTCACCATATGCCAGCATCTACTGATGCAATGTTGGACAGAGAAGCAGCAGTGGATGGGGTGGTCTCTCCAGCAGGAGGTGTTGCCCCTCTTCCCTAAAGGCAGCTCAGGACACCATGTGTTGAAAACAATTCTTCTAAGGCAGGTGCTGGTAAAGACAGTCTCTTGTATGAGCAAAGGACAACAGTGTGCTCTCTACGTAATGGAAACTTTTACACCATTCACACACCTTCACCAGATATATTTCCCTGAAATAGGTGTCCTGTCACGTACATGCACTCACACCATTTCTCTCCACTCTAACTGGCACACACAAGTAGTAAGTCAAAGAGCAAAGGTTTATTTTATATCATCCTCTGCCCCTGAAATATGAATATGATACATAACAGAGCTGCACAGCTTTCTAGCACGTACAATTATTACCACATCTTATCAATGTAACTGCATCTGCTGAAAAGACTACACCAAGACCAGCTCTTCAGGAATGCTTTTGACAACACATCACCCTTCCCAGACAGCCCGGCTGTGCAGTTAGTCTGTGCATTCTCTGCCCTTTCATCAAAAAGACCCAGGGTGCTAGTTAACTAATATTTGATAACACGATTAACTCTGGCTGAACTAAGCTGGGGTGTGCTCAGGGAAACAGTTTAGCTTGCTTCCATAGCAGGGGTAATAACCTCTGGGAGAGAGTGTGCAAGCAAGCGTGCATGAAGCCTCCCCCTTTAACCAGCACAGCTGCTGACATAGGAAGCTGTATCTCTTGCCTTCTACTGAAGTTATTTCCAGCAGTATAAAGCAGACTTGTGAAAAAAACATGAATCTGAAGTTACTCTAAAACGCTACTCCAAGGACACATTAGTTCCACTAGAGTCAAAGTATAAGCCAGATGCAATAGGTCGAGTTCTAGTCAAAGAGATTGCACAGAAAGTAAGAGCTAATAATTCTTAATTTGGCATAACATGACATTCCCAACAGCTTCTGTTTCTCCTTCCAGTTACTGTGTCTTGGCAGTCTACATATTAAAAAAAAAAAATCATTGCACAAAACGCATTTTCTGTTGGGAAAAAGCAAGAAAAGAAAAGAAAGCAAAGCACCTTTCTTTGTAATACTGTCATTCTGAAAACTGAAGATGCTTTCACGGAAAGGAAAAACATGCCGATCAAAACACGAACGGGACAAAACCTCATTCATTCCTTATTTGCTTAAGAATTACTAAAAAGAAACATTTTGCAGGAGGCTAAGGCAACAGTAATTTAGACAATAATAAATTGAACATTGTAAGAGTAACTATTCCACTGAATAAAAGAACTCTGGCAAGAAACTTTTCACATGGTATTCAACAGGCATTCAAATAAATGAATGAAGTATGCAAGTTAAATCACTTCAAAAATAAAGACTTTCCAGCGGTTTACCATAATGACAACATTGTATAGAAAGACACAATAGCTCTTTGTAGCCCCAAAATTGTCAGTTTTATTTTACAAGGATGACTTCCAAAAGCATTTTGTCATGACAATCAAGTTTTGAGGAAAAAAGACAACCTGTCATTTGATAAATAGATGAAATTAACTGTCATTAAAACCACTTAAGCACTCCTCCTTCTTGTTACCCTTCTCATCTGTAACTGATAAGAAGATTTCAGGGAAGCTCACTCATTGATGGCAGGATCTAGAAAAGAAACAATTTTGCATAGTTATCATTCACATTCACAACTTCTAGTTACTGCATTTCACTAACCTGCACTTAATTGGCTTCCTTCTGCCACTGGCATGAGCCCAATGGACCATGTACTTCATACAAATCACCACTCACTGTTGCAATTACACCTAATACCATAAAAATATTTTGGGTTGCATCCTATCACATTAATACTGCATACAAAGGTAACTATAACAAGGACCTGTTATCTACCAACTAGAACTGCAAACACCAGCCAGTGCATTAGCCAGAAAGAATCAGACATCATGCAGTTCATTACTTATGGAACATGGTTGAAATCGAAACCAGTGGATTTCTCTGTAACTTCTAGAAAATACACCACTTGCTCACAGAAACGTATCACCAAATCCAATGAAGGACCAGATGCAACAACTAAACAGAATTAGCAAAGAGGCAAACTACAACTATGTGTTTTCCCAAGGAACATTATCCGAGATTTGCTGGGCTATGCAAGCAGCTTCTTTAAGATGAAAGGAGAGCATGGATTAGTGAAAGAAAAATCCCTGAGCCTTGCACAACTAGACTAACTCACATGCATCCCTGGAAGGCTGTGTGCACGGCAACCCCACTTCCAACATGCTAAGTAATTAATTGTATTCCCACATTAAAGCTACCATGGCAGACCTCCACCTTGGCAGATTTCTAGCTGGCTTTAATCTTCTTCATCTTCCACATGGCAGGTTCTTCACACCAACTGGCCTCAGTGACAGCTGAGCTTTCAATGCCATACACCACCTTGATGCAAAGGGGGTTTGCCCTTTCCTCCACCTTTACACTGCCATTTAGTCATGGCCCTGACTTAACAACTGCACTGCAGCTGCACATCTACTGACATGACAACAGGAAGCGAGGGTCTTCATCCCCACAGGAATGTAGCTGCCTTTTTGGTTAGCATCTTGCATCCTTTTTCGTGCTGAGGACAGAGCATATGGTCCTTCGAGGGGATATCAAAATAAGTATGACAGGTCAGTGCAATCATCATACTGAATGAATTCAGATGATGCCATATCTAAAATGAAATGCATGCATATAATAAAGATTCAAATGACAAAAAAAAAAAGAAAAATTCTTTATCCTTTATCTGTCCTCTGAATTATTTATGAATTCTGCAACTCCACCTGTTGCCACCAGCCCAAGGACATTACTTCATTTTGGGAATGACACTTGATATTAAAAGATAAGTTAATAAAACTAAGACACTGTGGACCTTCCTTAAAGGCCACAGCAAAACACAATACAACTTCTCTCTTCATTTACAAAGGAAAATTATAAACAATCAATTCAGTTCATGTTTCTCAACTTGTTTCCATAATTCCAAACACAGATTTAAACTCTGATGCATTAAGCCAGCCATGCCTTTTTAACCACTGCAGTTAGGTAAGATTTTCAAAGCATCCTGATCCTCCATATATTCTTTTAGGGTTACCTCTCTCTAACAGTTCACCATGAATCACCATACAGAAGATTTTAACCATACTATCTCAATTTAGTGGGAGCTTTTAGTACATAATGTGGTCATTCCAAGAAAATGTGAATGTTCTGCATATATGGAATATATATGCAATTTATAAAATTAAAATATATGCAATTTATCAAATTGCTTTCGATAAAAGCAATTTCATAAGCAATTTCATAAATTAAACAAAAAGAAACAACTTCAACATGTGTAGAGCACAGAGCTTCAACTAACCATGTTAGTGAATTTTAAATTCTGCTGCCTGCCCACTGAAATGAATTCTCTTGATTCAAGTTCCATCACATACTAGCTCTTCAATTTCAAACAAACAAACTGGGAGGAACAAGGCTTAGCCAGTAAGCACAATTTTCATACCTACATTTACACACCCTTCTCCCTCCAATACCCCTTCAATGAACTCAAACAAGTTTACAGTTTATCTGTAGAGCACAGAACACTGAGGCAGAATAAATATATAAAAAAAAAAAGTCAAATCAACTATCAGTTTTGGTTGCTACTTTATTCATAGTGGAATCTGACAATTAAATAGGTATACAGATCTGAACTGCTACACAAAATCACCCACACCATTAACACCTTCCTACTACAACAACATACCAATACTCTCTAGCAGTGCTAAAGGAATGACATTTGGAAAAATCACCATGAAGACGTGACTGTCTTCATGTCAGATCTCAAATGAACTGAAGTGGGTCAAAACCTGCAGGTCCCCAAGTGTCAAGGGACTCCTAAACATTAGTCCTTCATGATTTACCAACAGCCTCTTCTCTGCCACAGAGGAGATTACTCTGTGCTTACCTGTGACCTTTATTTCAATGTTTTCTGCTTTTATTTTTACCCAACTCAGCAGCTATTTGGTTTATGTTCTGCTCCCAGGAGATCCCAAATGCCACAAGAACTTTTAACTGATTAATTATTTGGGATTCTTGTTTGTTTTGTTGGGTTTTTTCTTCTCCATAGTCACCTAAAAGGGAACTAGAAATTGTACAGTTCTAACAGTAAAAGAGAGATGTGTGAATAAATTTAAGAGCTTTCAAGGTACCACCACCAGCAATCTCCAGTATCACCCACAGAGCTTGCAAGCCATTTGTCAGCTTCCTGCAGCCAAAAAAACGCACCATTTGCTATGTTGCCAAGCACACAGCTCAGTTGAGGCCTGAAACAGAATGCCAGGCAGGCAGGTATTTAATAAGCAAACTTGTTTTGGGGAAAAAAAGCAATGCAAGAGATATTACCTGTGTTGCAAGTGAAAGAAGCAAATGGCTTGCAAGCAGAGACCACTTTCGTTTAGCTGTCAACTGTATCTTCAGCAGTATCCGCTTTTGTTCAGTTTGGTACCATGCAGTGTTACTCAGGAAAAGGAGACGTAGTCAAAAAAAATATTTATTTGCCCTTCAGTCTGCATCAGAACTGGCACTCACCCCTGAACAGTCTCCCTCTCCCTCACTACTGTGAGAAAGCTATCAAAAGGGACCTTCCCTTCCCATTCTCTTGCTGTTGGCCAAAGAAACAAAGAGAACAGGCAGAGACTTTTGGATGTGTAAAACACCACTGAGCAGGAAATTAAGGTTCAATGGGTAACATTTAACAAGAGCCCCAAATTCTCCTGTTGTCACTGCTGTATATTTGAGGTTATTACTCCCTCACTGTTAACAGTTCTCTAGTATTATGCGAATCCCAGATGTTCTGCACAAAAAACGCTCTCAAACCTACAATTATTTACAGTTGCAACCTGCTCAAATGTACATCTCATTTTTTTGAAAACTAACGAATTAAAACAAGTAACATATCTCACATTCCAGGGTTGCCATTTAACTCTCAGTGCCACAGGTTCTCTAGTGTCTCCTGAAATACTTTCTAGTGGTGCTAAAAGAATGACATTTGGATAAAATCACCTGTGTGCTGATAGGAAAACATCCTTCTGAAGATTTTCACAAGCTAGCTGGATGCAATTGAAGTCAGCCCTCAGAAAATAAGGAAAGTCATTTTCCTGACCAAACATGCTCACTAAATGCTTCTGGCTATGACATTATTTCATAATTGACACATTATACACAAACACCTCAAGAAAATATCTTTCTGTGTATGTCTGGATTACACAGCTATTTATACCCAGTGCTTTTGCAGAGCCTTCCCAAGTGCTGCACAATGCTCTTGAATACAAATGGCAAACTGATCATTTCAAATGACAGGGGTTTTTTTTGTGTTCAGTATTTTTAATGTTAAAAAAATTGTACCTCAACATGGTCTTTAATCTAATCCTTACCCTGAACAATTGAAGTACATCCATATTAATCTATTAAATGCTTTTCCACACCACACCTATGGCACTGCATAAATTGCTGTAATTTAAATGAATTACTACTTGAAATTCTCATTTGGTAAGAAACATGCAGTGTTACAAGGCACTGGAACGAAAAATGTGCACTATGGTAACTAAGTTTTATAACATAGTACATTTAGGTTCTCATAAGCCAGCTATTCTAAATTGTTAAAGGACAAGAATATTGGACTGATCACAGAGAACACACATCAGTATGTCTAAGAAATCAATAGTATGAAATTAAATCCACAGTTTATTTAAATACTTTCCATAGCCATATATGCAGAATACACTTTAATAATGCCAATTAAGATGGCTGAAAAACACTACTGCAAAAGACATTAACCCCAATAGTAATTCTGTCTCTGCCCTAGATAACCTGTATTTTTCTCTTTAAATATCTAACTTGTTGAAACACATTGAAGAAAAAGAACTTGGGGTGGAGGGGAAAGAAAGACAAAAGAAAAAAAAAAACCTGCCTCAAGTTCTATTCTTACATTATTCTGCATATTACTACTGCTTAACAATGACTTGTTTAAGACTGCACATTTCAACTACCTAACAGTAAAGAATGAAAAGCTTCTTGCTACAAGCTAAAAAGAAAGTCTTTACCATGCTCCTTGAAGAGCTCATTTTCACATTACTCAGGCTTCATTATGCTGAATCAATATTCGTTTAGTCACTGGGGTTATTGACATATTTTAAAATAAAAGTATACCCTTCAGCTACTGCACTCATTACGGGTAATTTGTCTTGTCAGGGAGCAGGGAATATTATCCCAGTCTTTCAGGGGCTGACAGCCCATGGAAATACCTCCCCTTGGTTACAACTGTAAATAATTTTAAGGTAAAATATTGAAAAATCAATGACTGTTTCCTGCAATCTGTCACAAACAAATCAATCATAATCTGCACAGCCAGAGAGTATGATTTGAAGGAGATGAGAGCAGATGTAATTCTTGGCTGGAATCTCTCATTTCAAAAAATCACTTCACATAATGGTGTTATCATTTAAACACTTAGCAGTCACTGTAACTACCACTCCTAACATTTAGTTGGAAAAAAACACAAGGAAGAGGAAGAGAAATACCACTGCTGTTATGTAAACAAACACTTGATTTAAATGGTTGCAACATTAGCAAATTTCACAGATCTAATAGCTAGGCTTGTCTCTCCACCAAAGTCCAAGATGCTTTTCTTGACCAGTGGAAGACTGTCTATAAATTAGCTTCTTAAAACAAAAAGCATTTTAGAAGAAAAGTAGGCTTCACAAAAGTTGAGCAGTAATATTCCATACTAACACTGCTTCTAAAATATTTCCAGTTTGTTCACTCCAAGCTGCTCACAACAGAACTACGCATCAAATTCTCAAGTGATTAAGAAAGGAGAATTATCTGAGGTACCTTTGTCTTTTTAAGAGCAGTAACTATTTCAATGCTTCTTTGTCCTCTACATATTACATTTCACATCTAATTTTCATTAAGCACATACAGACTCAACTTTAGTGCAGGTAACCACCTTGAAGTACTGCAGAAAGTCATAACTTACATAAATTAATTTATAATATATTTTCAACTTGCACTCAAAGAGATTAACTGCTGTATATGGAATTACATCTGTATAAAGGCTCAATTTATACATAAAGAATTAACTACTGTGCAGTCAAAATGCTATAAACTGATCTTTGTAAATGTGAATAATTTGTGTAAAACTAATCTATATTTACACCAATTTTTGGCCTGAAATTATTTCCTTATCTGTCCCCCCACATTACATTTTTACCCTGATACTACGGTGTTTGAGAAACTTGTGTGCAGATCAGTCAAGATAAAAAAGCAGCAAACAGGATGAAAGTGTTCAACTGCAACCATGGGCCTAAGCCTGCACTCTTTGCACAAACCAAATTCCCCAATGCTCATGGAGCATTTCACTCCAGAGTGTATAACTTGAACTCTTAATCTTTAACATGCAGAACCTGTTATCACATATTCATTTTAATCACATTAACCTTACCAACTCATATTTCTGAACATTTATCTTACAACTGTGAGACTAAGGAAAAAATGCAATCAAAAAGATTAAATTATTTTCTCTTTTCTTGAAAAAAAAAAATCACTTAATACTGTTTTTAAAAATGAAAGAATAGGGGATACTGTACATCCAAGTAAAGCTCTCCAAGGTTTATCTTCCTTTAAAGCAGGCTTTAAGACTCTTTATCTTCTATATGGAAAACACACATCTCTAATTCTTTACTGATGCACATCAAATCAACTATTGTTTGTAACAGCTGGACAGATTCTGATTCTTAGCGAAATAAACTATTAAAGAGAAACTAAATTCCTAGCCCAGAAGAAACCGTTCCTGCCTGAAAGGCTAACTAAGTGCAGGAAAACTGCAAATGCCAGCCGTGAAGTGAATCAGCTTATCCTGGGGAAAGGCCACTCTATTGTGAAAGAAAGCAGGAGGAGGCAGAGTGAGTAATCGTTAAAAACAAGAGTAGCTCCTAGAAACGAGTTGCAGTACCTCATTTCTTCCCTGGAAGAGATCTATAATGAAGCTATCTGATGGAGAGACAGCCTCAGGCTCATCAACCCTTTTAAATCTCCTCACTGGAGGGAAGACCCTGCTTACTACATTAGGCGTTTCTGGAGGGAGAAGCAGTGTGCCATACTGAACATATCGGCATCCTTCCCCAGTGCCATTCTCCTGAGCCAGGTTGTTATATCTCATGACAATCACCTAATTAGTTGCATCAAAAATCACAGAAGATAGAAGAAATCCATTCTTCCTACATGCCAGTTCTCCAATTTGTAAAAACGAAGGCAATGACTGTTCCCCTCCATCGTAAGGCACTTAAGAAATGTTAATAATAGTTAAGCCAGTCACATCTCCCAGACAACACTGTCAGATCTATTCTTGCAATATTTGAGAACTACTGGACTCAGGAGGGCGCTCCCACAAGTTCCAGATAGAAAAAGACTCACAAATTCCATCCTTAGATGCGAGAGGTCTCAGAGGGCTGTGCCACAGCAGACATTTCACAACTGCTCTGACAAGGGAAGCCCTAAGAAGAAAGAGCAGCACATGCTGTGGCACTACAGATGCTTATGTTCATAGGTCAGCACTACAAGTGCTATTTTCTGCTGGACAAAGCATTAAGATACTGCAGCAGCTAAGAGGACTGTGAAGTCTTTCTGGTTAAGCAGTTGAATTAGCTTCAATTTCTTGAATGAAAAGGTATTTTTCTTCATTTCATCTTTCTCAAGAAACAAAAGAACTAAAGGTTATGGAAAGAGCTGAAAAAAAAACACTGGCTTAAAAAAATCTAGTAGCATTTCCTCTAGTATCCACCTTTCTGATTTACTGCTCTCATAATATTCATTTAAGCCACTAGTGTATGCACATTTATTTAATGCAGCTGCACATGATCACTGAATAAAGCAGTGCAATATTATATCATGCAATACTATTCATATTACACTATTATCAATACTCTACCTAATGAAGTTTGTAAAGTTTCCATGTTTGAGTGTTACAGAAAGAAGAATCCTGCTTTGAAATAGCTCCTGCCTTCCAACTCTGTTCTTCCCTTCTTCAGCAATGCTTAGGCCAGTTTCACTGAGCTCACCTAGATGAAAAAGAAAGAAGAACAATTGTTACAATGATTGTCATCTGCACCACATGATTTTCTTAATAGAAATAGGACCGAAGCTAATGTATCTGGAAATATTACTTATGCATCCTGTTAGACAGAACCCAATAATTACAAAGGAAAGTGACACTACTGTAATGCCTTATTTAAGGAATCTTAGCATACACAAGACAAATTACTTACCATTAACTCTGAATTGGATTAAATATGGTTAAAAAGAGCCACAAGCCCAAATGCATTCTTGCTTTGTATGAGGTCTCTTCCTGCACTCAGGTGGGTACAAGTTAGGAGGGACTGCTGGATTCATTTTTCCCATCGTGGACCTCGCTGCTTCTGCTCTTGAGTGCAACCTGTAAAGGCAAAAAGTGGATATATGTAGAACAAGAAAACAGAACAAAAAGAGAGTATTTGTCACTAATTTAGATAGCAGGTTTCTCTCACAAATGAGGATTACAGACTGAACAATGCAAGGGCTTCTTCACTCATTGATCTATTGTTTTTGTTAAATCCCACAGGCACCATATTAGTACCACATCACACTGGTTTGAGTTCAGTTCTGCATTTTTGGAGAGATGCACCACAAACAAGTGCCTACGGACATCAAAGATCTGTGGAATATGGAAATTTAATGGCATTTAGCTAACAAACCAGTAACAGCATTAATAATTTGCTTTTGCTCAAAAGCACAACAGTCTAACAAATTATGTATGGGCACCAATTTAAATCTGAACATTTCTGAGAAAAGCAGAGGGTTGCAGTTAGGTAAACAGAGGCGCAGAGGTTACAGGAACAGAGTTGGGCCAGAGAGTGCCAGAAACGGAACAAGAAAACAAGTCTGTGATTCAAGATTCCTAGATCCTTCCCTACTACCAAGTCTTCCCATCATCTTACCCAGTACAAAAGTGTCTTCACCCTTCTGCAGCCTCCTCTCAGACAGCTATCCAGGTGGGCTAAGGTTAAATTTTACTTAGGGACACAGTAGCATTGTTTATGCCACAGAGAACATCACCTGAATTTTAACTGAAGCAAGAAATTAAAAACTGAAATAAACTTCAGAAAGAGCAAAGAGAAAAAAAATACCTTTAAAATACCCTTTGAACCATAGGCTCTAGAGCCATTCTCTTCCCAGGAGGCATTTATGGATCCTAATACCTACAGAAGGTGGGAGAACGTAAGGCCCTCCCCAGACAACAGCCAGGAAGTCAGCACAAACAAAGTAATTCCTGCACTGTCAATACCATAAAGAAGTTGTAGGCACCTTTTTATAATGACAGAGTACTCTTAATAAAAGCTTCAAGCAGGTTTTATAGCAGCATATTATCCAATGAAACCAGTAATAAACAGCACTGTAGCATTATTTAGTGCAACTCTAATACACCAAGAGCCGCAACCTCAGTTTTATTTATCACACAGGCTAACATGTTAGTTCTTGGCTTTACAGTAGCAGCCAAGCCTGTAGCTATTTTATCCCAGCACACTGCCATCTGGATATTGATACTTTGCTATGAGATATGAAAGAAGAGCATAGTTACCTAATACAGCTTAATTGAAAACAGGACCTACATAATACACCACTCATTATTCCATATAAAATTAAATCTGAAGGGCACAAAAAGTTCTGTGGATGTCAGCAGAGAATATTTCAGAAGTAAACATTGAGTTCTTGATCTGTGATAGAAATGTTGAGAAATACTGTGAAAAAAGATGTGCTTATGGAAAGAAAAAGATAGGTTTTGCTCTGCTGGGAAAAAATAGCTCAGGAAGAAGCATCTCCCTATGGAGGAGTAGGAGAGTGATCAGTCACAAGTTTGTTAATATAGTAAACTTTTATGATGATCAGCATTCACCTTGAAAGGTCTGACTGGCTTGCTTTTTTCCTAATGAGATATACTTACAAAAAATACTAAAATATTATTCTGGCTTTACAAATACATTAACCTTAATCTGCAGAAAGCAGCTTCAAGCATCACTTGTATCTTCATTATCCCCATTAAGGGACAGAAACGAAGAAACTCTAATAAAAATCAGAAATTATGAGCTGTTAAAACAAAAATTCTTTGTGTGTAAGACTACGAAGGCTACCCAGCTTTACATGTCTTCTCAGAGAGGTAACACTGAGGTCTCGTAAATACCGGTCATAAGGACTGGAAATATATGTAAGTAAAGTAGATAAAACACAAACCCCTTTTTACATAACACTGCTATTTAAAGTCACCCACCTCCAACACCCACACTGGAGATCACATTCCAGCTACGGGAGCTCCCATCATGCTGCAGCACCTGCAGTTGAAAGGGAGTTTGACACTGTATGGAAAGCTATGGGCACATGCATGTCCCACGGAATGGCACGGGGAGCCACAGCCATCCTTCCTGCTGAGGTGCTCCTCTTTCACAATAAGGAGCCAACAGTAGATGTGTCTTCCTTTAAGTGAAAAACTTGCTTAGACATGAAAGAGAGCATTTTTAAATTTTCTCCACTAAAGTCAACGATTAGGAGAGTCTATTTTCTACATATGCCCATGGAACTTTAAGCAAAATAAACCCTAAAGACATTCTTAACTTAGTCCATATTATGCCAACAAATTCAAGCAAATTGTGCCGTTTAAGTTAACTACAGGAAACTATAAGAAAAGTGAAATACCTTTTCAGGTTCTCCCATGATATTTCAAGGTCTTTAGAGTTACAAGTTCAATACAATAACTAGGTGCTTAAAAGTCCTGCCGGCTGTGCTTCTGTGTATGGTTTTATCCCACATACTAAACAGGTTTGCTGATGCAATTTAAAAAGGAACTCAGACTGATAATCAGGTTCCTTTCAGCAGGGAAAAAAAAAAAAAAAAAAAAGAGATTTTACATAGAAAGGCTTGCTAAAAAAAAACCACCACCACCACCCCCCCCCCAAACAGTCTATCTAAGCCACCTAATACCCAATTGCTAAACACAGAAGAGTTATTCTAGGTGTTTGTGAGCTTATACCTTGGTCTCAGACTGCATAGTAACAAATAATAAATGCAGGCAGAAGAAAGAAGAGAGTAGCCGAGGGTGTCTTGCAGAGCTCTCCCCAAGATCATTCACCTAGGCTAAAAGCCACCAGCACTTCCACTGCACAGACTGGCCCTGTAACTCCCAGCACTTCACCCTGGGAAGCCAGCAGCAACGCGCAGATGAGGAGGTACCTGCAGGAAAGTGGCCCTAAGTTTTACTGACGGTGCTTCAGCCAGTATTTTAGATGCACTGTTTTAGTTCTTGCTCAGCTAATAACGTATTGATTTAACATAGAAAAACACAAGCCACTCCCTCCTCTTTGCATGTAATTAGTTTTACTTCCATTGTAGTGCAAAGGTGAGAAAAGAAAATCTTTTTCTCTTCATGCTTAATTAAAAAGAAGCATAGTAACATGTATTTATTTTGCTCTGAGTTGTTAATACTTTTAAATATACTCTATAAAACACCTCTTAGCAGATGTTTTCAGCAGCAGTTTCCACTGCCATCTGAGTCTTAGTGTTTTGTTTACAGGGACACCTTTAAACACAACAGACGAAAGGGGATTATCTTTTGTTGGTTTTTTTTTAAAGAGGATTCCTTTTAATATCACATACATGACATCTTGGTAATATATTCATAAATTGAAGCAGATAAACAAATTACTCAGTAAGTGTCTAAGCTCAGGTATTCTGATAAAGAAATATTAAACAGGTTTTGAGAAAACAGCCTCCTTCTCATCTACTCATGTAAAAATAAAATAGTTGAAATGATCTCCTAATGCATCTCCCTTCATAATTCATGCCGAAAGATGACATTTTCTCAGGATCTTAATTAAGATAATGATGAACACCTGTGTCGGCATTCTTTGGCAAGACAGCATTATCCATCATAATCTTTTAAGTACTCTCAAAAAAACCCAGCAAAATAGTATGATGGAACCAATCTGTTGCCTCTCTTTGCACTAAGTTTTACGTCTCAGACGCACACCAGAATGATTAGATCTTTAAAGACTGCAATAAAAGCAGGATCGTTATATTTTAATGTTTCATCAGAAAGTAGCTATTAAAGTAATTAAGTTAGGGTGTATCATACCTAAGATACCCAAGTTTAACTCCATCCACTACAAGCCACCTGCAAACAAAACACAGTTAGAACCCACCAATGGCTGTACTTTAAAAATGCAACTTACTGTTATGTTCAAGATCACCTTGCATCTTTTTTCCCTCCCATAAAGATAATATTCACAGATGATCCCTATTCTGTTTATGTGCTAATTTATTAAGCTATTTTATGCTGTACCACATATGTTTGCAAAACCTAAATGAAATTATGGAAATTAAACCAATGTAGAAAAACTAATATGCAAGTTCAAATATTGCTACACTTTGGGCCACCACATTTCATGCAGTCATCTCAAATGCAGGTTCTCCTTGCGTCAAAAACCCTATTGGAGCTCTACTACTACAGTAAGCAAAGACCATTTTAAACAGCTTTACGGGAGCAGCCCAGAAGACTGAAGGCTATAGAAATAATGACTTTAATCGTGCATTTATATAAGCCGAATTTAAAGTCACAAGCCTTTAATTTAAATAAAGCAAAGAGTGCACAACCAGCCTGTAAATCCTACTCATCATTAGGTAAGAACTTAATGCTAATGTTTCTTCTCTCGCATTAATGTTTAGCTTCCAAGGAATTATGATGAAAAATATATCAATTACAGAATTTTAATATTGACTTGCACTTACATCATTTCATTGGCAGCTGCAAAGCAAACACCTGATACCAAGAACTTATCCATACCTTCAAATGCAGTAAAAATGAAAAGCAGCAAATGAATCCTGAAGCACCACACATTTGTTATAAAAATTGACAGACCTACATAAACAAGCATCTTGAAACAAACTTCTTATTTCCCTTCAATCAAAGGGCTGAAAAGTCCTGCAAAGCAGATTAGTCTTAAGCTTTCACATTTTAGTATGCCTCTACGGGAGTTAAAAGTTGCTGTGACTAGTCATTCAGTCGAGCTATCAATGTGCAAATAAAGCAGAAAATAGAGACATCCTTAAGAAATGAGCCTCAAAGTTGATACAAAGTGAAGGTGACAACCAAAGCAATAGAACGATAAACTAAATGTTTCAATATCTTGAATAATTATCTACAGCCCCTTTAAAACTGCAAAGAATATAATCGTGGCATAATGTGGTGAGAATGTTGGTTTGACAGACACTTGATGGCACAAGAGTCCTACGGCTCCCGCTTATTAATCGGCTCTGGTACTCTGCTGCCGTGCATGAAAGTATGCCTGAACTCACCACAGTTCCCGAAACGAAGCAAGATTAGTAGAACATCAGAAATAAAGAGGGTAATTTTACATGACGTTAACCTTACCTCCTCTTCACAAAAAAAGCCAGATGCCACGGGAAGATGGTTAGAACTTCTCCCTACAAAGAAACGCGCAAGGAAAAGGGGCTGGTTATTCTGCTCGCACACCAAATGAATGTTAAACGTATAAAACTTTAGCTGATGATACCTCCCTCCCGGAATAAGGGCTATTGTCAGAGGATTATAAGAGAAATGCTTTTGACTGGAAAAAGAAACGCGGTGCATGAGAGCGGTAGCTGAAATGAACCGCGGTACAAACACCGGTGACACCGTGCGCTGAAAACTGGTGGAAGTGCACACCTGTGTGGAGTGAGCTTGTAAGGGAGCGTGGATTCGCCGACAGAGCCTGCCAGGGCACCGGGGACACGGGGACTGCTAAGAAAACGGCACAACGACGCTTCCACGTTAGGAAAAATAAATAAAGATAAATTAAAACGCGGGGAAATTAGATAAAGTAGGGAAATGACAGGCAAACCGCTGCTCGACAGCCGCACCGAGGAGGATGCCCAGACCCACCTAGCCTCGCTGTACGCCGCTCCCGCGATCGCCGCCTTACTGCGGGGCCCGACGCGGCAGCGCTCTCCGGCTCAGCAGGACAGCGACCCTGGGAGGCGACCGGACCGAGAGCTACTCCGCGCCGCCAGCGTCCCGGGAGCTGCTGCCCGTCGGGGCCAGAGCAATGCCGGGGCCCGCCCGGCAGGGGGCGCCCCAGCACGGCAGGGCAGTGCTGCCGCCAGGGCCCGCATCTCCGCCGGACGCCGCCGTCCCGCCACGCCGCTTCCTCTCCTCACCTCACCGGCGGGCCCTGCCCCGCGCGACCTGACACGACCAGCAGCCGCCCCGGGCGGAGCGGGGCTGATCCTGACCGGGCTGGGCCTCGGCCCGCAGGGCCTCCACTCGCCGTCCTGCCAGCGCCGCCTCCGGACTCCCCGGCAACCGCGCCGCAAGCCGCCACCGCCCCTTCACACCCCGTTCCGCCCAGAGCTGACGGACAGCCACCCGGGCCAATGGAAGCAGGGGAGGGCTCGCGGCCGGCGGCGGGACAGCCAGTCACGCACCGGGACGGGCGGGGCCAAGACCACGGGCTGATGGGGAGTGTAGTGCGGGCCGCGCCCCTCCCTGGCACCGCTGCTGCCCGGATCCTCTGCTGAGACGCCGGGGAGATCGGTCTCTGCCCGCCCAGTCTTGCGCCCGGCACCTCCTGCCGCCCTGCAGCGGGGCTGCTCGGGAAGGTTCAGACTGTGTCCCGCCATTTGGCAGCGGGACTGTGGCCGCAGCTGACGGGACGAAGCCCCGGAGGAAGGGAAGGAGGGAAGGAAGGAGGGAGGGAACGAGGTGGAGCGGCTTCGGTGCCACCTCCTCGGCGACCTGTGGAGCTTCTGCCCCGGCCTTCTTCTTCGCGTCTCCGCCTCCGTTCCTCTGGGTCCAGCGTCGAGAGGACTCAGGGCATGGAGATGTAAAAGTTACAAGATTAAAAAATTTACTAAGATAAATGTAATTAAACCGTCTCCGTCTCCCGGGAAAGGCATGGACGGGGAGAGGGGGTGCGGCACCGCCGGTGCCAGGTCGGGGCGCGGAACCCAGCGGAGGGTACGATCAGCGGCCGCGGTAGCAGAGCTCTGCCTCAGCCGCGAGTGGAAACAAGCGAGAAGGGAATAACCCGGGATGTGTTCCTGCAGGGAAATGTATCTGGTGGAATCAAAGGAGATTACATCTCCTGATCGGCCGGGATTTATCCCGATTCATATGGTTTTAATCTGCTTTCGCCACGACCCATCACGGGCGGGGAGGGGAGGTATCTGTGTATCTTAGAATCCGCGGGCAACCCTCCCCTGCCAGCCGCACAACTCCTGCAGACCCGTCCCCTCCCGCCGCTCCCCGTCCGGGTTGCCCTGCTCCGGGACCGGCTCTGGGAACCACTACTTCCATGCGGCCCCCCAAGCCACCCGTGAAGCCAACCCCCGCTTCTCGCCGGACCCGGCGACACTTGCACAGCCGCCGCAACAAGTCCGGTAGCCCCGGGCGGCCCCCGCCCGGCCAGCCGCGCATCCCCGCACTGCCAGCCTGGCTGCGGCGCGGCCCTTCCCTGCCGAAAACCGCCTTTTTTGTTTAGAAAAAGTACCACCACCATTCACACACCCCGATCTATTCCACCTCCAGTGATTTAGGGGAGGGAGGGGCAGGGGGCAGAGAGCAAGAGGAGGGGTGGCTACGCAGAGGGGGAGCCGGGCGGCTAATAAATCTTATTAAATATCTACTTTTTTTTTTTTCATATACTGATTGGCTTGCATTCCGGCGCAGCGCGGCTCCGCGCGGTATTTAGCACATGCAGAAAGTTGGGGCAGATCTCAAACGGCTCGGCGGTGTCTGCAAACCAGGAGCCGGCGCACTTGAGCCTCCAAGCGCGGGGAGGGCCGAGGGAAGCGCGGAGCCCTCCCGCTGGTTGGGCCCGGCCGCGCAGCCCAGCGGGGTCCTGCCAGTCCTTCCACTGACAACACCCCGCGAAGGAGGAGCCTCGTCGGGCCGCGCAGAAGGCGTCAGGAGCTGCAATTTCCAACTTAGCATCTTGGCAGGACCCTTCGGAAAGCGAGAGCGAGGAGGAAGGAGAAAAAAAAAAAGCCCCCCAGTGCAAGGGAGAGAGAGAGCGAGCGAGGGAGGGGAAAGGAAAAAAAAAAAAAAGGAGAGGGGGAAGCGGGGGGTGGGGGGAGAAAAAGGAGGAAGCGGTGCCGGGCTGCAGGCGAGCGCGGAGCGGCAGCCCCGGCGCAGAGCAAGGTGCCGCCGCTGCCCCAGCTGTCGAGGGCGGAGAGGCGCCGGCGAAATCCCGGTCACAGCGGCTCCAGCCCGGCAGCGCGGCGGTTCCCTCCCGGCGCTTGGGCTCCCGGGTGTATGTGTGCGCCTGGCCATGTCGTATCCTCAGGGTTACTTGTACCAGCCGTCAGCGTCCTTGGCTCTCTACTCATGCCCGGCGTACAGCACCAGCGTGATCTCCGGACCCAGGACCGATGAACTAGGGAGATCTTCTTCGGGCTCCGCTTTTTCCCCTTATGCCGGATCTACCGCCTTTACCGCCCCTTCACCGGGTTACAACTCCCACCTCCAGTACGGCACCGACCCGGCCGCTGCTGCCGCCGCCGCCTTCACTTCCTACGTGGTAAGCGCAGCCCCGGGCTGCCGGCACCGCGCCGGGCACGGCGGCATCCCGCGGGCGCCTGCACCCCCCTTCCCCGCGCCTCCTTTTTTTTGGGATTTTATTTTGAGGTATCGGGGACAAAAGGGAGCACGGCTCCCTGTCTTGGTGCCCAACTTTTCCGCATCGCCGCCCTGTGCCGCCGCACACTGTTGCGCACAGCCGCCGGCACGGCCGGGGAAAGACGGGCTGGGGCTTTGCGGGGACGCATTTCACACGTCATCTCCCCCCAAAAATAAAATTTTGAAGTATATATATATTTTTTTTAATGAAACAGCAATCGTGTTCCCGCAACAATTAGCTTGTTGCGGTTTAAAAGGGAATGGACCCAGCAGTGGCCGGCGATGGGAGAAATCTCGGTGATAAACCAAGGCAACTTTCCCCTGCACGGCGATAATTAGGCTGCTTAAATATTTCAAAGCTCTAATCCCACGGCCGCTAGCAGCTCCGCGGGCACTGCGCGGGGAAGGGAAGGAGCAGGCAGGGCACTGCGCCGCCGTTCGCCCCTGCGGAGCCGGCGCGGGGCATTTCTGTCACAGAGCTGTTGCCACCGCCTGTGCCCCACGGTTCCCCCAAACCCCCGAAGTTTTGTTCAGCTTCTCCCCTAGGCAGAGATTCACAGTATCTTCTTTCATTTTTCTGCTCTTCCTTCTTTTTCTCTTCTCTCCTTTCTTTTCTCCTCTTCCCTTTATTTTCCTTTTGCTGCCCCTGGCCTGGCAGAGAAGCCTCCCGGCCCGGCTCGGCCGCCTGAGCCCGGCAGGTTGCCCCTCCGCGATCGCAGCGCCTTGGGGAAGGGAAGGGTGCCCCCGCCGTTGTTCGCCCCACGCCGCGCTGCCCACTCGCTTTTCCGTGTCTGCGTTTGGGAGAAAGGCGCTGGATCGCTGCAGGCAGCCGGTGGCCTCATGGGGCCGGAGCCTCGCGGCCCTTCCGCCAGTTCTCCCGGGAAGGCCGGGGGTGAAGCCGGGCAGGGCCAGAGGCCGGGAAGAGGCGACGGGGCGCGGACGGGGGCTGCGAGCAGGCCCTAGAGCTGCCCTTGCCGTGTCATTGCCGCCCCGCTGCCGCCTGACTTCACCCCTCCGGGCCGCTCTCCCCTTTCTCCCCAGGGCTCGCCCTACGACCACACGCCGGGCATGGCCGGCTCCCTGGGGTACCATCCGTACGCGGCGCCGCTTGGCTCCTACCCTTACGGGGATCCCGCGTACCGCAAGAACGCGACGCGGGACGCCACGGCTACCCTCAAGGCCTGGCTCAACGAGCACCGGAAAAACCCCTACCCCACCAAGGGCGAGAAGATCATGCTGGCTATCATCACCAAAATGACCCTCACCCAGGTCTCCACCTGGTTCGCCAATGCACGGCGGCGGCTCAAAAAGGAGAACAAAATGACCTGGACCCCTCGGAACCGCAGCGAGGACGAGGAGGAAGAGGAGAATATCGACCTGGAGAAGAACGACGAGGACGAGCCCCAGAAAGTAGAGGACAAGGGGGACCCAGGGACGCCAGACACAGGTAGGGCAGAGGGCTTGGCTGAGCCACGGCGGCCGCGCCCACGGGTCTGCTCCCACTTTACCCTCCGAGCGGGAGCCCGAGTCAGGGGAGCTGGGGGCAGTGCTGCGGGACTGTCGGTGGTGGGGCCTGGGAATAGTCGTGGGGGACGGCGAAGTGGGTGGGCGGGTTTCGGGGTACAGGGAAAGCCCGAAAGCTGCCCCCCCACCCCTCTCCTTTGCCCCACTCAGGAGCGGCAGATCCCAAAGCAGCGCCGGGCTGCGAGCGCCTCCAGGAGTCCCCCGGCCCTCGGGAGGCCGAGGGCGGCCTCAGCGACTCAGATTGCAAAGAGCCGGCGGAGGAGCGGCTCGACGGGCCGCCCGCCCCCTCCAAGGCGCCCGGTGCTTCACCACTAGGGCCGTGCCCGGTGAGTCGCGGGCCGCCACCGGCGGGCGGCGAAGAGCCCCCGCCGTACTGCCCGCCCTCCACCGCCTCCGGGCCGCCTCACGCCGCTGACCTCCACCCGCTGCTGCCCGCCGGCGCCGGCGCCTCCGTCATCCACTCGCCTCAGCAGGCGGCCCTCGCCAAGCCCAAGCTCTGGTCCCTGGCCGAGATCGCCACCTCGGCGGACAAGGCGAAGGAGAATGGTGGTGAGCCGGTTCCCCCCGGCCCCGCCGTGCTGTGCGGCGGCGGTCCCTCGCGCTCTCCGCCGCGGCCGCGCTCGCCGGCAGCGCAGTGCCCGTTCCCCAATGGGGCGGTCCTGCCGCGGCCGCTCTACTACACGGCTCCCTTCTACCCCGGTTACACGAACTACGGCTCTTTCGGGGCCCTGCACGGGCACCCTGCCGGCGGCCCAGCAGCTGCTGCCCCCGGCGCCCATTTCAATGGATTAAACCAG